GTACGAAAACCCGAAAGCATTTCAAACGGAGCAGCTGCACAGGTTGTGTCGCATGCCGGTGCCCTCAGAGATGCTGTTTTTCTGTTTTAGGAAGTCACTGGTTGTAAAAATCATGGTGTTTATGCATATTATGTTTTGTAAAGCACTTGAAATGTATGTTTCAAGGGCTAGGGCTGCATTGACGTCTGTTTAAGATATTAAAATGCTGTTAAAAGTTTCATTAGACTACACTGAAGATCATTTGGAGTCATTTATCTGTCATTTACTGTTATAATAACTTTAAAAATGGTTGAACACTAAGACCTGCTGTTGCATTTCTGCAGCATTCAGATGAAATAGTCTCATATTCACACTGATTTACATTTCTTTTGGTGTGTTGCCATTTTTCTGTCTCCAAACTTAGATGCGAAACAGTCCCCAATGGTGGCAGTAGGCAGAGATTGTGTTTTGTGGCATGCTGGGAGATTGAATTTGTAAATTATTTCATGCCAGACGTGTTGCTATGACACATTTTAGAGTGTGTTCTGCTATAAAATGTAGTTTTAACCCATATTTAGTGAAAAATAAATATTTAATAGCTTTAAACTTATGTACAATGCTGCTACAGTTGGTCTCTGTGATTAAAGTAATAGTTTGCCCAAAGCTGACATTTCTGTCATATTTTACCATGTTATTCTGAACCTTTAATGTATATAAATACATATTCAACAACAAAATCTGTAGAACACAAAATCAGACGTTTAGCAGAATGTCCTACTCTTTTACATACAATGGAAGTGAATGAGGACTGAAGCTCCACAAATGACCATAGAAGCTCCATGATTTTGTGTTTGATGGAAGAAAGTCAGTCATACAGATTTGAAAAGACCTGAGGGTGCGTGAAAAATTACTGAATTACCATTAAGAGTGAATTGTGATCAAGTGTGTAGTTGTCAGGTGTCACAATGTAGTAGAACCAAATTTCGTTAAACTGCCATAAAAGTATGCATAGCTGTGCATTTGTGGACTAGCATACATAATCTCATTGCTTTACATTGTTCCATAGCAAACCTCTTTATGAATTCAAGTGTAAATAAACATAAGCCAGACTCTGGATTAAAATATGGATGTAATGGGAGTTAGTCATTGTGATTGGTTTGGCTGCAGTGCCAGCCGATACAGTTCCAGCGCTCCTTGTTGATTTCAGTGTATAATTTGCATAAATCCTTTTGGTGCATATGGTAAGCTGTTCCTCATTGTACTCACCATCGGGTGCAAATCAGCATGATGCACTGAGGGCAGATTGCAGTAATGTAAATCCAATTACACTTCCCTCTTGAAATAACAGTATTTGCAAAATACTCGACATCTCGTGGTGCTCAACATACTAACAGGGTTGACAGATAAAAGATTTGTTTAGTAACCGATGGATTCATTCTGGACTTTTGGAATTGGATGCCAAAATAGACTCCATCTGAAACAAATTGCTGTGATATGGACCACACAGAACCACAAAGGGAAGGATGATACAGTGCGTACTTTGATCTACACTAATAACCATCTGTTGATTCTTTTGATCTGTGAATTGCATGTCATACGGGACCACTGCAAACTGTTTACACTCATAGTAAACTGATAGACATATAACTTGATTTTCACAACACAGTTTTTAAGATTATGAAGATTAGCTCTTAAACCTAGTCATTATGTAATGTAACACCAGAATTCCCTGCAATGACCAGTGAAAAAATAAATCCAAAATCTTGGACATAGAGTCACGTCAGTTATATATAATTAGTATTTTATTCCGTTCAAGAAACTGTTGATAAATTATTTTTTGCATATTTTTATAGGCATTGCCCCATTTAAGAAAGAGACTCCTTTCATTAGCTTAGCAACATGATGAAATCAAGATCTACTGAAATGAAGTGACGAGAGTTTTACGTGAAGTGCATTAATTGTCTATGAAAACGGCATGAAGTGTAGCAGGGTAAAAGATTTTGGAATACAGATGGTAGAGGAACATTATTGGAACATTCTCCCAACATAAGGGAAACATTTTATTGATAATTTGTAGAACTTATACATTTCATTCAGTACCAAAAAGTAACAGTAAAAACGGCTAAATCGCATTTAATTGCATTGTTACCTTAGCAACATGCTAACATCAAACTCTGTTGAAATCAAGTCACAACGCCATTTGTCCATCAGAACAAGACATGAAGTACAGCAGAGTAATAAGGGTATGTTTACGCGACAGCAGTATACTAAAAACAAAACTCTTAAAACACTGTTTTGTGCATGTCAGGCCAGGAGTTGGCGATGTCACTTTGTAAAGAAACACTATACGCATGATGCCAGCGATTTCACAAATTGCGTACTTGTAGTTTATATGAAGAAGATAATGGTATCGTATCGTTTGAAACCCATTTTCAAAAGTTTGTGTTTTTAGGCCCCCAAAATGCCATTGTCGTATAAATAAACGGCCCCCTAAAAGATATTGGACTATAGAGGTTAGGAGAACATTAGGGGAAACGTTCTATTTATAATTTGTAGAACTTGGATACTTATACATTTTATTCAGTACTAAAATCTAATTCAAATGGTCATTGTTAGCAACATGCTAATGAAATCTATGTTATACAGTTATACAGAAAGCAAAATGCAGGGTCGTGAAATGAAAAATGTCTAGTTCTTTTTACTTGAGAGTCGTGTTTTTAGAACACCATCTCATGCGCAAAACTCAAATGCAGTGGTCCCGTGACATGTCCATGGGCAGTCGTGGCCTAATGGTTAGAGAGTCAAACTTGTAACCCAAAGGCCATGGGTTCGAGTCCCGGTACCAGCAGGGATTTTAGGTGGGGGGAGTGAATGACCAGCGCTCACTTGCACCCTCAATACCACGACTGAGGTGGGACCCTTGAGCAAGGCACTGAACCCCCAACTGCTCCCAGGGCGTTGCTGTAATATGGCTGCCCGCTGCTCCGGGTCTGTGTTCACTGCTGTGTGTGTGCACTTGGATGGGCAAAATGCAGAGCACAAATTCTGAGTATGGGACACCGTACTTTGCTACATGTCACTTTACTTCACTTTAATGCATGTTTATTGTAGAGAACGATGGAAGAGCAGTGTGGTGGAATGCAAAAACGTGTTCTGTATGAACTATCCGCTTTTTCCTAGGTATACTGTGTACCCTGAGTCATATCAATTGTCTTGTCTTACTAGATTTTTTTTTGTTATGCCTACTGAAGTCTTATTCCTCAACCAGAACATGATCTGAGTTTCCGAGACTAGCTCAGTCTGTTTCCTAATCTTCCTGCTGGCTGGATCCTCCCGTCAGTTTATTGTAGAGAACGATGGAAGGTGGAATGCAAAAACGTGTTCTGTATGAACTATCCGCTTTTTCCTAGCTATACTGTGTACCCTGAGTCATATCATTTGTCTTGTCTTACTAGATTTTTTTTTGTTATGCCTACTGAAGTCTTATTCCTCAACCAGAACATGATCTGAGTTTCCGAGACTAGCTCAGTCTGTTTCCTAATCTTCCTGCTGGCTGGATCCTCCCGTCAGCGTTCAGCTTTTCGAAACTGTCACATCAATGATAGATTCTCAACATTATAACAGCACGCAGCTGCCACTCGGCCCCGCATGTGTGGTCGGTTCGGCTGAGGATGCCTGTCGGACATCCCCGAATGCGCCCGGTCTCCTGGGCTCCGGGAAGAATGGGGCAGAGTCATCAACTAATTCATCAATGTGCCGTGTGGGAAGCAAATAATCGCGAAAATGCTTAGGAACAGGAAATAGCACAAACGAGAGTAAAGAGCTCTCCTCGACCCACTGGAATTCCCCCAGGTTACAGCAGTGTGGGAGACTTGAGTACAGTTTTGGGAACCTTTACGTTCAATACGAGCCTGGTTCGCACTCCGTCATGCTGTAAGTGAAGCTGGCTGGGCAGACAACACTGCAGCCTGTTTGAATCCATCGGCTCAGTCATGATTCTATAAGACTTTTCTATATGGTCTTTTGCCACATTGTAATTGAGGCATGCTGGGGGTTTCCATGACGACCGTCCTCTATGTCCAGCATTGTTTGCGGGTACAGATTGAAAAGGTATCCTATGGGAACTGTTTTCTAGTTTGTACCGATGCACAGCCACAGCTCAGAAACGCTCTAGGCTTGGGATCAAACACCGACTTATGCTAAAAAGGGCCTATTAAATGATTCACTTGCAGATGTTCACAAAACATTTTTCTAGTTGAAACCACATTTTTGTAGCCACTTTTTAGTAACTAACAAAGGTTATGGAATGGCTGACAGATCAGCAGTTCATATGCATTTATCTATATATAAACATTTATCTATCTATCTATCTATGTATCTATCTATCTATCTATCTATCTATCTATATCTCAGTTGTTAATGAGTTATATTATTAATAAAACTTTATAAATATTATATAAATAAATAATATATAAATAGTTCTGTATCTTAACTATAATATATAAATAATGAAACCATATTAATGAATATGTAATAATGTATTAATAAATAATGAAACTAAACTTATTAAATAATATAGTACATCAATTATATTAACAATATAGTAGTAAGATTCAAGGTTCATAGAAATTAAACTAAAAATAATGATTAAATAATAATGATATATATACTGTATATTAGAAGTAAATTTAATATAGTGGTATAATAGCATTAGCCTCAAACCTAACTAGCTAAAAGAGAATGATGTTGATTACCAGACAGACAGACAGACAGACAGACAGATAGATAGATATGTTTTATGTATGTATGTATTTTTTTATGCTATCAATGTGGTATGAGTTTTTGATGATTTTTTGTAGTAATCGACATCATTCTCTTTTAGCTAATTTCCAACAGCATTCTCTTTAAATGAAAACATGTACATTTTCTATGCTTTAATATGAAATTGCAGACTTTTTGCACACTTTGTTTGTAAACTGTACCAATGTACTGTACTGTCTGTGTTTGTTTTCCTGACTCAGCAGGCCTCAGCTCACCGCCTGCCAACATCACCACATCAGCCGTTCCCAGCATTGTCACTCCTATCGTCAACGGCTTTACCAGCATCCCTCACCAGCCCAACGGACACCCTGCGGTCGAGGCCATGTACACCAACGGACTGCCCGCTTATTCCACCCAAAGCCCCACGGCTGCAGACACCCTACAACAGGCCTTCACCGGGGTGCAGCAATATACAGGTTCACTACCTCAATCTGCCTCCTAATATATATATATATTCTATTTTTGTGCTGCTTACTTAAAAATGGATGGTTGTTTTGACCAACCATGTGTCAGTTTGTCGTTTTTTTTTCTTCTTTCTTTTGAGTAGCCTTGTTCAATGCTGTATCACATAAATCCAGAATGTGTTATCACACAAATTTATCTTTGCACGTACAGCCATCTACCCAGCGACCACACTGACCCCTATTGGCCAAAGCTTGCCACAGCCACCGCAAGTCATTCAACAGCAGCAGCAGAGAGAAGGTGAGGGTGAGAGATTTTTCATTTGTTTTGGCATAAGGATCAATACTACATGCATGATGATGAGTGAATAGTTTATTATGCTGAAATACTTGCAGAAAGCATCTTCCATTAAAGGAATAGTTCAGCCAAAAATGAAAATTTGCTGATTTATGCACCGTCAGGCCATCCAAGATGTAGATGAGTTTGTTTCTTCATCAGAACAGATTTGGAGAAATGTAGCATTACATCACTTGCTCACCAATGGATCCTCTGCAGTGAATGGGTGCCGTCAGAATGAGAGTCCAAACAGCTGATAAAACATCACAATAATCCACAAGTAATCCACACGACTCCAGTCCATCAGTTAACGTATCATGAATTGTAAAGTGTAAGAAGTGTAAGAAATAAATCCATCAAGGCATTATAACATAAATCTTGCTTCCGGTTCAAATACGAGTCCTCTATCCATAATATTGCTTTCTCCAGTGAAAATGTCATCTTGTCTGAATCATGAGAGAAATATCCACAGACCAAGCACTGTTTACAAGCAAAAACAATTCGGACCAGTTCTAAACAATTGGATTTTGACGTGAGAGGACAACAAGGGATGGACATTTCCACGGGAGGAATCGTTATTATGGATTATGGACTCGTATTTTGACCAGAAGTGATGGTTTAAAGTTAAAATTTCTTAATGATGGATTTGTTTTTCTTACAAACACACCTCTTTTCATTTCACAAGACGTTAATTGATGGACTGTAGTCGTGTGGATTATTGTGATGTTTTTATCAGCTGTTTGGGCTCTCATTCTGACGGCACCCATTCACTGCAGAGGATCCATTGGTGAGCAAGTGATGCGATGCTAAACATCTCCAAATCTGTTTATTAAACAAACTCATCTACATCTTGGATTGCCTGAGGATGAGTACATTTTCATTTTTGGGTGAACTATCCCTGTCACTCTTTTTAATTGATAAAATATTTGCTATAAATAAACACAAGTATTTAGTATTTAAAACTAAAAATTTGGCAATTTTTTAAGCACGTGTTAGCATTATGATAAAAAGTACATGTAACAACATTACATTCTGAAACAAAGGGGCACAAAGGCCTAAAATTAAAAATATTATTTAAATATAATTATATTTTATATATATAGATATATATATAAGTTGTCTCTGTGAGACTCCACATTGAGTAAAAACGTATTTGTGTTGCAGGACCAGAGGGCTGCAACCTCTTCATCTACCATCTACCGCAGGAATTTGGTGACAACGAGCTCATGCAGATGTTCCTTCCGTTTGGCACAGTCATCTCCTCCAAGGTCTTCATGGACAGAGCCACCAACCAGAGCAAATGTTTTGGTGAGACAAATCAGCATGCATATTCATTTCTACGTTTTGGTAATAGTACTAGATGACAATGTTCTCAAAATAGCTAAATATCAGCCGATTAATCTGCCTAGCCTAATTCCAGCATCAATGTTAAACTTAAATATCAGTAAAAAGTCACAAAAATTAACAAAAAACAGTAAAAAATATTTGATTACAACATGCTAAATGTGAATAACTGTAGAACAAGTATTACGTAAGTGAATTACAGCCCATCCCAAAACAACCTACAATCAGTCTCTGTCCATTTCACAATGTAAACTCCATTCTGTATTCTGTATTCTGTGTCAAGCCACAAACCGGAGCGCTGCCTTTTAAAAACCCCTGAGCCAGAAAAAAAAGTCCTAAGTGAAGCAAAAAGGCCCATTATGGATCAACATCTGTTCCCGCTCCAGGGGGAGACATTTCCCAAGCCTCAATTAATAGCAGCTCAAATTTGTGAAGTAGGACCTATTTGTGGTATTGACTTATACACTATGCATTTACTGCATAATGTCAGGTCTGGGTAACAGGCGCTCGGTAGAGTAATTAATCTGCGGTGGGGGCCACGGCCCGAGATGGACCGATGGGACGTGGCTGAGAGCACTGACATACATAGATTCCCTGTTAAGCAGCCTTGTGGCTTTATCCCCCACGTCACCTCCATGCGGACCCTCTCGTCTTGTAGATACAAGCCTCGAAATGGGGGCAGTTCCAGGCACGGTTAGGCGCCTAGGCCACTCTGCTCCCAGGTGGTTGATGGCCGATGAAAGCGCCCGCTGTTTTTCACGGTTCACTTCCGGTTCCTGATGACACTCGCAATGCCAGCGAAAGTGCATCCTCAATTCATTTTGGCCTTTTGGTCACTGGCTTTTAAAAGCCTGTGGGTTTGAATGGGAAGCTGGGGTCGTCACGGACGAATATGGTTTGCATGCTGTGGGTGGCCCCTTTTCGGAGTCCTGTGGGGTGATTTGTCCCTGTTCTATACCACCAGAGGCTTATATATGCTCAAAAGTAGCCCACACAGATGCATATATGGTGATTTTTCAGAGATCGAAGTGGAAATAGGTTCATAAAAGAGCCATTTTTGACTTGTTGGAAACTTGCACGGTGGTTTAATATGATGCCATGTAATCAATTTTAGTACCCGAACGACTTGGTTCACGTCTGTTCTCATGATCTCTTGCAGGCTTCGTGAGCTTCGACAACCCAGCAAGTGCACAGGCTGCTATCCAGGCCATGAACGGCTTTCAGATCGGCATGAAGAGGTTGAAAGTGCAGTTAAAACGGCCGAAGGATGCGAGCCGCCCGTACTGACAGGGCCCAACCCACACACGGCTCTCAGCAACAGCACAGGTACCACTTTTGGACAACAGACACGATTTTTAACAGGAAGACACAAGACAATTAACCTGTAAATCTAAATGATTTTACAAACTTGAGACTCGTTTCTTTCATTTATTAAATATTCAATATATTTAGTATTCATAGAAATACATTTACATGTATTATTATTGTTATTATTAAATATATTTAATAGAAATTAAATATTCAATATATTTCATATTCATAAAAATGCATTTAAGTGCATTATTTGTCATTCTTATTGTTATTTTTATTAATAATAACAATATATATATATATTGTTATATATATAATTACTGATATTCATAGAAATCCATTTCAATATATTATTAGTAAATATATTTGATAGAAAATAAATATTCAATATATTTATTATTCATAAACATTTAAATGGATTGTTTTTTATATGATTGTTACTATTATTGTTGTCGTTGTTGTTATATATATATATATATATATATATATGTGTGTGTGTGTGTATATATATATATATATATATATATTGTATGATATCAAATAATTTGTGTATTTGTGTTGTTGTTATTAAATTACATTTAGTATGTATTTTAGTACTTCAATATATAAAATACAATTATAATAATTTTTATATTAATTTATATTATATAATTTTATTGTAAATATCTCATATTAGATATTATTTGTAGTTTAATCTTCTTTTACAGGATTTGAAGAGTGAAATCTCAAAAGGAATTTAACTTTTTCTTTCAAAACAACCAAGAACAACATGAATGGATTTTTTTGAAGACATATCAGCATTTATTTTATGAAGATGTTCGGTACAGAGGAGGGGTTGCAGGTGAACCGGCACCCGTGGACAAACCACACTCGGCACAGTGCACGAAAGACAAGTGGAAGATCTCTCTAAAGACAGAGAACTCAACATGTCCTGTCTCTCGCTGAGCTTCTCACCATCAGTCAAGCAACAAACAAAAAGGAAAAAAAAAACGAGCGAGAACAACTTCAATTTCTATATACATATTATACACACATATGCTATTTAAAGGAAGAGGCGCTTATGGCTTTTATTACACTGGACAAATGAGGGTTAAACTTGAAGACCAAGGAAAAATACAGTGGAAAAAAAAGAAGCTCTTCTTGTCCCGCTAGTGGACTTTCTTTCTCTTTTCCTCTTACCTTTTCTTCTGTCACCGTCTTTCAGCAAACGCAGGACATTCTGTGGTCACAGAAGTTTCCATGCCCTCAGTGAAACTGACAAATCTTTCACCCCAAAGGGACCAAAGGACCAAACATTTTTATTCCTCAACAGAAATATATGGTATTAATAACAATACTAATACTACAAACTACTACTAACAACATAAGTTTAAAGAAAAAAAAGCATAAATATTCGCTTCAGGTCGGAAGAGGAAAGGGATTTTAATTTCCTTTTACATTTATAGCTACTGGGTTTCAGAATATTTAAACAAAATAGAAAAAAGCGAAGAAAAAAGGTATTTTAAAAGCTATACTATTTTAGTGGAGTAGAATATGTGGATTGGAGATTGTTAGGAGCATGTTCAGCCATTTTCGTCCATGAAGAAAAAAAACAAGGGGGGAAACTGTCCATCATCCATCATCGTTTTTTTTTTGCTCCGATGTCAAAAATAGGCCCACATTCCAGAGAACAAATGCTGAGTATAACAATATATGCATGTGCGAAGTGTTGCTGGTTTAGTGAAACCTTTTGCAGTTATTCAGTACACACAAACAAACATATTTATCCGATGAAAGCTTTACTTATCAAGCAGAATAAGTACCTGTGGCTTCAACGCAGACTATCCGCAATATAACAGCTATACCAATTCACAGGTAAATAATACAAAAAATACAGTTAACGCTTGACAGGGATGGGATTTATTTATTTATTTGTGCACTGCTTTAGTGATTTTTCAACTGAAGCGGTTCTAGTTTGTTTCATCAGGTCTACGATCGTGCTTCGTGAAGTAACACTTAACTTTACTATTACAAGAACCAGTAGACCTTTCATACCATCCATTTTATGCATCTTTCAAGAACATACTCATCAAACAGTTGTGCCAAATGCTGAATATCAACTGATAAAGCACATTGGTAAGTACACCAAGCAGTTACAAAGATACCAAGCCTTAAACCCTTACACAGCCCACAAAATGAGGTTCGTAACGGACCTTCCAAAGGGACAAACTTGTTATTGCTTACAACTTCTGAAGCACATCAGAATTTTACAGGGACCCTCTTGCAGCATCAAAAAAATAATCAAATTTAGCCTCGGAAACCTGCACAATCAATTCCACATTAGCGTTCATTTCGCTAATAAATTAGTTTAAGATATAGAAAACGCCAGGGGACGACTCGTTGGATCTGCAAATAACCCATATTTCTAAAAATACGCTTCTCTGGCTGGTATGGATTAGCTTGACGCTAACTGTCTGCAAAGGTCTAATGAGCAGCCTGTAAAGAGCTCACGAACAGCTTGCAAATAGCAGCCATGGAGGTTACAGTTGGAGCAAACTGATCCATCAATAAAAAAAAAAGCCACAGAGTCTGACATTATGGTGTACGTAACCGCAGTTGTTGCTTTGCTCTCAGACAAGTCGCAAATATACACCACTCTAAAGCGCTTGACGAGAATCTTAAAGACCCCATGAAATCAAAATTGGTGGCTAGTTTGTGTCTTAGCTCTGAGGCTAATGCTAGCTGACAAAACCAACACAAAAATGTGAAATTACAGTCTTCTGGTAAAACTGTCCTAAATATTAATGACTAGGCTACAAATTTTTGTCAAATCAAAAGCTCTAAAATGAAGTAAGAGTTGGTGGACATTTGTTAACATTGATGCCAGTTCTAGTGTACTCTAGTGTTAAGAGCAATACGCATTTGATTTGTAGTTTTTCATTTTTCGTTACTTGCAAAACGGACCAAAAATACTTACTTATCATGCGCTACCAATTTTTGTCCAATCAGATGCTCTGGAGTAGAAAGTCCCTTTTACTAATACTACTGTACCTGCAAGTAACTACACAGCAAAATGCTTGGTCCCTTTTTACTTGTTTTCCAGTTAAAAATATCTAAAAAAAATATAGATTAAGTTTTCATAAATTGTATCTGTCACGATCTGCTACGGTGCGGGAACACGGAGCAAGAAACGAGGAGACCAAGAGTACAGAAACCAAGGAATTTATTCATCTTCACAGGGAATCACACGTAGCACTGTAGACACAAACAATACCGGACGCTGGAGCACACACAGGGAACACTATTTATACACACAGGAGAAGGGGATGACGAGACACACCTGGGAGCAATGAAACATCATGGGAAACACCTGGGACAAATTAAACATGAGAAAGGAAGGCACATGAGGAAAACCACAAAACACGGAACAGAGTCTGACAGTATCTTTATTTGTATGTATCTATATGTGTATTATGTCTCGTCAAAGATTTATTTGTAGATATTTTAAATGGAAAACTAGACACAATACTTTCTAAGAGTAGGCTGTATTGTAAAATAAAGGCTATTGGTTATTTAAAATAAGTTGCCACGCACCATCTTCCTGTTTCAAAAGGAAATGCATCAACACTAAACTCGTCAAATGATTTCGCAGGGTCTTTAACTGTTAAATGGACAGTATTCTTGAAACAAGTTGTTTTCCTCTGCATTTAAAGTTTTTGTTTGCCTTTTTCGTACATTTTTACGTTCTATCTACATTTCCGTTACGCTACTTTTGCCAACTCGCCAATTCCGCACTGCCTTCATAGATATGCCAAAAACGACACATAATATAGAAGTACAGGAAGTTCAGGTCCTTCAGAATTCACAAATAAACAGAAATAGATGCAGAAACAGAGTTCTAGAATCTAGGTAGGACAGAAAAGCACATGTTTTGACCTCATTTGATTTCCACTGTGGATTTTGGACCTGTTTGTCTTAACTAAAAATATATCTGTATGTTAAATGTTTAATCTCGCAGACGTCAGAAATAAGTTTTGCCGGAAAACATTAACGTCGCCCGTATATCACAGTTGTTTTTTTAGCCTCAGGGCGTGCCGAAATGGACCGCATTCGATTCACAGGTTATAATGGCCTTTTTCTGCTGAACTCTCTCATTTCATCGTCTCTCTCCTGTCCTGTGGTGGCATATCAGAACGTGGTGATATACAGACACGTAGCCCTCGGGCATCAGCGCTCTAATAACCTCATGTTGCAGGGGCCTTCCTCACAGAATCTCTCCATGCCAGATGTGAATTATTAAAATCAAATTAAATTTGGCCTGTATGTAAAAGCAAGTGTAATACAAATTAAAAATGGCAACTAGTGCCTGAAGTTTAATAAGTTTGAAGGATGATATCATTACAGCTTGAAAGAAAAAAAAATGATTGGAAAGGCATATAAAATGAAGCTTGATGTGTTGAAAGGTGAACCGACGGCGTTAATACAAATTGCGTTTGCACCAGAAATGGGGGGAGGGGAGGGAGGGGGTGGGTGTTTTGCACAACAGGCATTTCTAAAGAAACCAGACCACCAGCATTTCATACTTGCTTTCTTCTCATTCACACCACGTTCACGTTTCGTTCCTCAGATCTTCATGCCGAACTTTGATCTGTGAGCATGCTCAAGGGGGGAAAGGGTGGGAAAGCTTCGGGGGGTTAAAGTGTTATAAAGGTACTACTCATATTAACAATATGATTCTTTAACTATGGTTTGTATGCTAAGGAAAGTAGCTTATTATAGATATGAAATATGTATATTAGGGAACAGCAGCACATTTCTCAGATTCTATGGGGAAAGTAGTCGGTGGGCGGGTGGGTTTCAGGGTGGGACGGGTTTTTTTTTCTTTATAAAGATCATGTTAAAGTTCTGGTTTTCTCAGCACAAAGCGTAAGGAAATATATATCAAGAGTATTGATTTTGCTGTGTGAAATGTGCAGTGGGAGAGCCAGGCACTCCCTGCGCTGTTCTTAAAGCCTGGATGAGACAATGCTGTTTACAGTTGTTTTTGGTTTTCTTGTTAATTTTCGTTGTTTTCTTTTGATATTTTCTGAGAAAAGAGGACAAGAGGTGCACCATCTATCTCTGCGATGCGATTGGTGTGGCATGAACAACTGAAATGGACAAGCATCCTGTTGACATTTCTCAAATATTTGCTGCTTACATTGTTTTACAGTTATGCCTACTCATCTATTGATTTGCCGATTAATTTATGAACATGTTTATTTAATTATTTATTTATTCCTGACAAAAATCTGTTTATGAATCGCCTATTTATTGGTTATGTTTAGAGAAATGTATGCATTGAAAAGAAACGCTTAATGGGCTTCTCTCTTTCTCTCTCTTTTTTTCAATTTTACAAATAAAATTTTAAATTTAAATATGAAGTCTGTTTGCCTTTGGTTCTTATCTAACTGTATTGAGCATAAAACATGTGGTGCTGTGAAAAGGTAAGTACAAAGTCTTCTTTTTTTTAAATGATACTGAAACTTAATTTTTTTTATTTTTTGGTAATAGATCTTAATCAGGTTAGACGCCATACTGAATTTAACCTGGATGGAAACGAGGCTGTGAGGGATCGACTTTACAATGAAACACACTGTATAACGGTCCTAAATTACTTAATTTTCACAACTTACAAAACTTTTTCATGGAGTTTTTGTCTACTTCGTAATAATCTGAACGGTCCTCTTTCTCTCATATATAGTGTTGGATCTATCTAATCAATCGGCTCGTCCTAAATGGTTCTCATATGTAGACGTGGGAAGTCCTCGTTCTCAATGGTTCACTCTCATGTAGTGCTGGTAAGATTCATTTTAGTTAAATTTTAGCGAATCGGTTCACCCTCTCTCTTACATATGTATAGTGTTGCAAAGTGCATTCATTTTCGTGAATTGGTTCATCCAGAATGGTTCTTCCTATTCATAAATACAGTGTTGGAAAGTGAATCTTCTTGTAGTGAATTGGTTCAATCAGATGTATTTTATAAATTAACAGATTTTAAAAAAGGATTCCCCAATTTGAGTCCTTCCATGGAATTTTTTGGCTTTTTACCCACCTTATTTTGCAACATGGAAATAATCTTAAATGTGCGAGACTTCCAGTTGATTAGTTGCTATAAATTACAAATCGAAGATCAAACTGCAGTAAATAGTCAAACTATTTGCACCACCAACCAGTGTTTATGATTATGATAATGAATTAAAATAATATGATAACAAATACCAGTTCACAATATCCAGCCTGTCTGGACCGTTTTTGTCATGTACAGGTAAAATATGACACCAAGCTTCGCACATTCAATTTAGATGGATTGCATAATATTTAGGTAATCACTTAAATCAATTAAATGGTTACAGCTTACATTTTACAAAACATGATAAAATGTCAAGAACTAAATAGTGAAGCCATAGACATAAAATAGTGAAT